TTATAGCCCAATATCAACGACGGTATACCACTAGGCCTTATTAATTACTAAAATTAGAATAATAAAATAATTGAAGTGAACCGGTTAGATAATTAATTGATAAGATAATAAAATTAAATCGTGGAATGGTTTGTTTCGATTGAGCAACTATACTCAAGTGTTTTTAGCTTAATGTTTAACAAGTAAATCAAAAGTGAACTACTACGGCCGATTGTAATTCACAATTACATATACTTATTTATAAATTATTAAATTAAATCGTTATATAAATTTAAAGAAAATAAAAACATAAAATAAAAGGATAGGTTTTTTGTTTCGGATACACCTCGACTGCCAGGGCTACTCACCCGGCCCAGGGCACAACTGCCCGGGTTAGTCAAGGGAAGCAAATAATAAAACATAAAAGCAAAATACATTTAAGTCAAATAAATAATAATAAGTTTCAAATTATAAATTAATTAAAACCAATAATTAAAATGTGGGGTTTTGGGAATTTATCATCCCCTACTTCTGAAAATAAGTCTCATGTAACGGTCTAATGGGACTTCTTGGCTACTATGAGTACTGTTAGTATACTACTACCCCATTATCTACTACGTATGTATTTAAGATAAAGTACAGACTTACATCTGATTCGGTAGTGGTGGGGAATTGTTCTTCTGTTACTGTTCCGTCGGCAACGACTCCGTATATTATTGTTCTTCTGTTATTTTTCCGTCAGCAACGACTCCGTATATTATTGTTCTTCTGTTACTGTTCCGTCGGCAACGACTCCGTATATTATTGTTCTTCTGTTACTGTTCCGTCGGCAACGACTCCGTATATTATTGTTCTTCTGTTACTGTTCCGTCGGCAACGACTCCGTATATTATTGTTCTTCTGTTACTGTTCCGTCGGCAACGACTCCGTATATTATTGTTCTTCTGTTACTGTTCCGTCGGCAACGACTCCGTATATTATTGTTCTTCTGTTATTGTTCCGTCAGCAACGACTCCGTATAGTGTGGTTCTTCTGTTACTGTTCCGTCGGCAACGACTCCGTATAGTGTTGTCCTGCTGTTACTGTTCCGTCGGCAACGACTCCGTATATTATTGTTCTTCTGTTATTGTTCCGTCGGCAACGACTCCGTATATTATTGTTCTTCTGTTATTTTTCCGTCAGCAACGACTCCGTATATTATTGTTCTTCTGTTACTGTTCCGTCGGCAACGACTCCGTATATTATTGTTCTTCTGTTATTTTTCCGTCAGCAACGACTCCGTATATTATTGTTCTTCTGTTACTGTTCCGTCGGCAACGACTCCGTATATTATTGTTCTGTTGTTTTTCCGTCAGCAACGACTCCGTATATTATTGTTCTTCTGTTACTGTTCCGTCGGCAACGACTCCGTATATTATTGTTCTTCTGTTACTGTTCCGTCGGCAACGACTCCGTATATTATTGTTCTTCTGTTATTGTTCCGTCAGCAACGACTCCGTATAGTGTGGTTCTTCTGTTACTGTTCCGTCGGCAACGACTCCGTATAGTGTTGTTCTTCTGTTACTGTTCCGTCGGCAACGACTCCGTCGGCCACTGGTCGGTCGGTGACAGATATTGTGTCTTCACTTGTTATCTCCTTTTGTGGGATCACTTCCTCAGTCTCAATGAATTTTCATACAACGTTAAATAAAACTAATAATAATAACACATATTTTGTTTTTAAAACATTTATTCTGATGGAAACAATTTATCTGATCTTTACTGATACACTGTTAGTACTCGACTCGCTCCGGGACCTCACAACACAACAGTTTTGTTGGTCAGTACGTTTGGGTGGGGTTTTGACTACTAGAACACATACCGATACCATTTTAGGAATGGTATGTTATGTTTTAGTCAGTGCTGTGTGCATAACAACTCTGCTAAAATTATAATCTTAAAATAGTTTGTTTATTTTAAAATAAACTGCTGTTTTAATATGTTATTTTATTTGTATTACAAGTTGCTTAACGCTTAACTAACTAATTAGAAATAATATTACAAATTACAGTAGTATTTAATAAAAGTCTTGTATTTTTAAAAATCTAAATTCAATTAAAACATTGATTATAAATATTGTAATAAAAGTAAATATAATGTGATTATGTAATGTCAAACACAACAACAATAATAATAACTTTACAATTTATTTGCAAATAAAATTGTTATAAAAATAATTGTATTGAAAAACTATTTATAAATGAAATCAACTAATTTTTTTATAAAAAATTAAATATTTAATTTTTTAAAAAAAACTATTAAAACATTTGTTTACTAATAAATTATTAGTAATAATATATTCAACAACAAAAAAAATAATGAAATAAACAATACATTCAATGCATGTATAACTTCACTGTAAAACATTTACACAAACAATAATAACGACACTTAAAGTGTATGAATAGAATAGTATAGTATTGAATGTGTTATTGATTTAAATACAATTATTTGTATTCAAACGGGTGTTTCACTTATGTTTGACGTACACTATGGCTGTGCTATTGCTATACAATATAGACAACTATATTGTTGTTATTGTTTGACATCAAAACAAAACAATAGATTGTTTTTTTTTGTAGTTTTTATTAATTTTATTATAATTATTGCAATTAATTATTTTTAAAAAATGTGTTCAATAAGTGATAGATTGAGTGAATTGAAGAGTAATTTCAATAAATTAAATCAATTGAAAAGTTTAACAAAAAGTTTACAACAAATTAGTGAACAATTATTGTGTGAAACAAGCGATCAAATGAATGGCAAACTAATTACAAATACTTATGTTTTGAACAAATCATTGAAAATCATTGATTCAAACGATTATTATTATGACTTCAATAGTGATGACAACACACGTGTGGATAACAATAACACGCGATTCACGTGCTTTTGGCCTAAATGTCGGTTCAATACTAACTTTAAACACAATTTACTTAGTCATCAATTGAGTCATTCAAACGATAAGCAATTTAAATGTGATTTTAATGATTGCAATAAACAATTTTATAATAATAATAGTTTACAATATCATAAAAATGTTAAACATTTAAATATAAGATTTATTTGTAATGTTAATAATTGCAACAAAAAATTTACAACAAAACACCATTTAATTTCACATAAAAATGCTGTTCATTATAAAATGCGATCATTTGTTTGTGATTACAATAATTGTCACAAGAATTTCTACAAAAAATCAGATTTCAAGAAACATTTATTGGCTGTACATCTAATGCATAGACCATTTAAATGTGATGTTAAGTATTGCGACAAATTATTTATAAATAAAAGCGAATTAAATACACATAAATTTATACATTTGTATAAAAATCAATTTCATTGTTCAGTTAACGATTGTTTGAAAAGTTTTACAACAAATCATTGTTTACGACAACACATATCGAGAGATCATTCAATTGAACCGGAATTTAAATGTGATTATAACAAATGTAGTAAATATTTTTATTCAAAAATGTTATTGAATCAACACAAACGTAGAGTTCATTTAAATATAATGATATTCATGTGTGATGTCGACGGCTGTAACAAACAGTTTAACAGTAAATGTAATCTTTTAAGACATACTAATAGTCATAATGACATCAAATTATTTAAATGTACTGTCAATGGCTGTAATAAAAGTTATACATCAAAACAATATCTTAATTATCACAAACATAGGTTTCATTTATTAAAAATAATTTAAAGTATTATTTTATAACAAATACTAAACAATTATTCATTTAAAAAGACATCATATAACAGATATTACTGTTATAATTATTTTTGTATTATAACAAATAACAAGTGTTGTAAAATACAATTAATACTATAAAAAAAATTAAATAAAGATTAAATTGTTAAAAGTGATTATTAAACTAATAACAGTAAATAATTTTTTTTAATTATCAATTGGATTTTATTAATTTATCATTAATAACTATTTTTCTAACATATTATCAATTTGTTATTTATTTAAATTATTTGTTATATTTTTAATATATATATATATATATATACTGTACTGTTTTAGATATTATTAGATTAATTAGATTTGTTATAATAATTATATATTTTTTTAATTAAAAACATTTATGAGAAGTAATTTATTAATTAACAAATGATACTGTATAAAATATATTATAGTATTTTTTTAAAAATTAATTTATCTGTCTATATTTATAAAACTTAATAATAATAAATATTTTAGCTAAAAGCAAATCTAGGTTCATTTTAAAATTATAATAAATTAATAGTTAGTTTTTTTTATAGTTTAAAAAATAAAATTTGATTAAATAATTAAACAACACTTAACACTAATAACGTTATCTAAATGTTTGAATATTTTAATGTGAAATGCATTGAATGTGTTATTGATTTAAATACTGTTTGTTTTGTTGTTGTATTCAAACGGGTGTTTCACTTGTGTGTTGACGTACACTATGGCTGCTATAGCTATACAATACAATAGACAGTAATGTTAAGTTTGTTTGACATATTAAAGCAATTGAATTGTTTTTGAGTTTTTTTTAAATATTTTATATTAATTTTGTTACAATTATTTTAATTAGTATTTTAAAATGTGTTCAATAAGTAAGAAATTAAGTGAATTGAAGAGTGATTTTAATAAATTAAATCAATTGAAAAGTTTGACAAAAAGTTTACAACAAATTAGTGAACAATTATTGTGTGAAACAAGCGATCAAATGAATGGCAAACTAATTACAAATACTTATGTTTTGAACAAATCATTAAAAATCACTGATTATAGCGATTATTATGATTGCAATAGTGATGACAACACACGTATAGATAACAATAATAACTCTCGATTCACTTGCTTTTGGCCCAAATGTCGGTATAAAAGTAATAGTAAAAAACTTTTACATATACATCAATTGAGTCATTCATCGGTTAAACAACTGGAATGTGATTTCAATGATTGCAAACAAATATTTTTAACTATACGTAGTCTACAAATGCATAAAAAAGTCAAACATTTAAATATTAAGTATGTTTGCGATGTTAATGATTGTAACCAAAAATTTACAGCAAAACAATCTTTAAGTAAACATAAATCTAATGTTCATTCAAACAATCGATCATTTGTTTGTGATTACAATAATTGTCGCAAAGCTTTCGCACAAAAACCTGATTTAAAGAAACATCAATTGTCTGTACATTTAAAGCACAGACCATACAAATGTGATGTCGAGTATTGCGATCAAACATTTGCAACAAAAGTTCAATTAATTTCACATAATTTCAAACATTTAAAGAAAAAACGATTTCATTGTTCAGTTAACGAGTGTTTGAAAAGTTTTACAACAAATCAATGTTTACGACAACACATGTCGAGAGATCATTCAATTGAACCCAAATTTAAATGTGATTATAACGAATGTGACAAATATTATTGTTCAAAGAAAGATTTGAAACGACACAAAATTGTTGTTCATTTAAATATTAAGCCATTCAAGTGTGATGTCGACGGCTGTAACAAACAGTTTCCCAATAAATGCGATTATTCAAGACATACTAATAGTCATAATGGTATCAAATTATTTAAATGTGATGTCAATGATTGTAATAAAGAGTTTGCATCAAAACATGGTCTCAATTATCATAAACATCGGTTTCATTCAATTAATTAAAAAAATCAGTTTAATAATCAATTATAATTTGCAACAATAAAAGTTATTACTTTAATTTAGTTACTAAATAATAATTATAATTAATTTGTTTATAATTAAATTATAAAAATTATTATAGCGTAATTTGAATATATATTATGTTTATATTATTGAGATTATATACTGTATATCTATTATTATTACTATTAACTTATAGAATATTATTTTTAGAATCATTATTAAAAATATTTTTTTAATAATAAAAAAATTATTTATAGTTTAAACTTTTTTCTTAAATACCATCAAACAAATCCATTTATTTTAATAAACAAATGTTTGATTTTTTTTTGGTACTATTATTTAGCAAATATTTTTATTTATTTATTTATTTATTTTTTATCAATTATTTGTCTTTTACATTATGATTATAAATAAAAATTATTTTTTAAGAAATTAAAAGTTATATTAAATTCTATATATTAATATAGTTTGATTTTTATATACATTCAATGTATATATTATATAATATATAATATTAATAATCAATACTATAGACATGTGATTGATGTACAGTTAAAATTTTACAAACTGTTTAAACTCAATGCCAAAAATATTTCAATCAATTACTAAAAATTAATTATAGTTTTTAGTTAATTAATTAGTTATTCGTTAATTAATTGCATATATTGTTTGTTTGTTGATTACAATTATTATTATTATAACAATTGATTTGTGAAAAATCAAATGTAAATATAGTTTTGGTGTTGTCATTGATTTATTAATGATTTATGTTTTGTTTAGTTATATTTAATCGTGATTTTTGTTTGTTTGATTTTTTTGATTACATAAATTCAATACAAATATATAGTACAGTAGATTAACAAAAATATCATTATTGAAAAATTTAGTTTTAATTATAATTAATTTCAATTAAATGGTTTAATATTAAATATTTATAAAAAAAATATATTTACTTTATATTATAAATTTTTATAAATATACTTTCATATTATTATTATATTACTTTGTTTTTTGTTTGTATAATTTCATCAATAATTATTAAATTAAAAATAAATCAATTGTATTTAAATATTTATATATAATATAATACATTTTATTTATTTTAACATATAATAGTGATTTACCAATTATGGTAAATGTTATAAATATGATAACATATTGTAATACATACAATATACTGTATAATAAAATATTTAACATAAATAACTAATTTAACATATATTTAATAATAATAATAATTTTTGAAAATTTATATTAAACAATAAGTATAATAAACTCATATTTTTTTTAAATACTGTATGTACTAGTTTATTTGTATTATCTAATTTAATTTTATAAACTTTAAATGTCATCACTGAGTATATTATTTTAATTATTAAAATTATATACATACTGTATATATTAATAATAATTTAATACAATAAAACATATTTAAAGTTATAGTAAGCATGTGATTGATTGATATAATAGTAAAAAGTTTAAAAATTATGTTAAACTATTCAAGTATTGAATCAATTATTACTAATAATATTATAGTTTATTTATTTTTATTTTTAAAATAATTATTAGTTATTAATCATAAATTTTAATTTGTTTAATGTAATACAATAATTACAATTAATTGCAAATTAATGTAAGTATCGTTGATCATTAATTTACTAAATGATTTACTTATGTTTTATTATTATTATATTATATTTTATTTTTCATGTCATCAATAGATTTGATTTTTTTTTAATTAAATTGATTGACAAAACTTATGTGAAAATCCTTTTTTTAAAAAAAAACAATAACCAACCACAACAACAACACCAGTGATGAAGTACTCGTTTAATCCATTCGGTGATAATTTATGTCAACGATTGCTTCAATATCTGCCAATCGATGACAGACTAAGACTGGAAACAGTGTCCAAACAGTGGCAGTCATTGATATTCAATGGACAAACAGATCTGGTATTTGATGACAACCTATTCGATAGGTTGTCTTTGGATACGGAAAACGATAAAATGGCGAAACTGTTTGAAACGATTTTAGCGAAGTGTCCAAACATAACAACAGTAACCATAAGTAGTAAATATTTGTTAAACTCATTGCTGGATCTACTGGTCAAACACTGTCACCGATTGACAAACATATGGCTTAAACGAAACAATAGTTACAACTCGTGGCCGGACGTCGAGCCAATGTTTGACCAATTTTTCAAACATTTTGGTCAACAATTGCTGACATTTAAGTTTGACGGCAATAATGACAGCTTTAATCGACAATTACTTTACAAACTATCCGATCGACAATTATTATTGTCTAACTTGAAGACAGTGGACATCAATTCAACAATTAATTTGAAAGACTTATTCAACAATAATAATAATAATGACTTCAAGATTAATCGGTTGCCAATCGGATTGCAATCGTTTGCCGTCGAACTGGCCGACGAACAGTCGCTGGAATTGTTTGCCGAACCCTTTGCCAATCAATACGGCCAACAGATACGATCGCTGGACATATCGGTTACAATGGAAATGATTGTTGCTTTCGAAGACTATCGATGGCTAGTAATCGGTGCGTTGTCTCTACAAATGCCACAACTGCGGCAATTGTCGCTCAGGTTTAAGCAACCAATACTTACTGATTTGATCGGCACTTTTCTGACCAAAATTGGCTGCCATTGTCCACAACTATTTGGATTGAAATTATCGTTAATTGGCGCCGACAGCGATCTAATTGGCCGTATATTTGATGCGATCAACAAAAATATGTCACAATTAAGACAGCTATCGCTAGATTATGGCCAGTCTGGCGACGATAATACTGTTTATAGAGGCTTCAACATATGGCTGGGGTTGGCCAGCGATCGGCTCAATCGTATGAAACGATTGACACGTTTGTCTATACGGGATCTGAAACCGAACATAATTTGTGACCAATTTTTTCGTGACATTGATTTGAATCTTCCGAGACTACAATCGCTGGCCATTATCGCCGGCAACAGCAGCGGTGGCGTCGACGGCGGCAACGGTACGGCGTCTATAACTAACTCAGCGTTAATCTCATTGGCAAAGTTGCCGTACTTGACGGACATCCATATCGATGGCGATACCACAACACTGACCACAACCTTACCTATCATTGAATATCATTTGCTAAACAATAGGTCAAAAATCAAATACTTGTTTATTAAATACATGGATCTGTTTGATGGTATCAAACTGTTGACAATTGGATGAAAACAAAAATCTATTGAATATATATATTGTTTTAATGATTTCATATTATATCATCTTTTTTTTGTTATACAGTATAATAATCTCCATAATATAAACATTATTTTTATATATATATTTAAATTAGTTTATAATAATTTCTGATAAATTAAATTAATATATAATTTCAATATTTTTAAATAATAAATTAATTATAATTATTATTTATATATATATAATAATAATAATTTTGTAAACATGTTTAAATCCATTATAATTATTTCAATTAGTATTTTTTATTTACCGCTAACTAAATGACACCGATGTTTGTGATAATCGAGACAATGTTTTGTTGAAAACTCTTTATTACAATCATTGACATCACATTTAAATAATTTGATGCCATTATGACTATTAGTATGTCTTAAAAGATCGCATTTATTAGGAAACTGTTTGTTACAGCCGTCGACATCACATATGAATGATTTTATTTTTAAATGAACAACAATTTTGTGTCGTTTCAAATCACCATTTGAACAATAATATTTCTCACATTCGTTATAATCACATTTAAATTTGGTTTTAATTGAATGATCTCTTGATAGGTGTTGTCGTAAACAATGATTTGTTGTAAATGTTTTCATACAGTCGTTCACTGAACAGATAAATCTATTTTTCCGTAAATGTTGTAAATTATGTGCAAATGATTTAGCTTTTGTTGAAAATGTTTTCTCGCAATAATCGACATCACATTTGAATGGTTTGTAGTTTAGATGTATAGCCAATAAATGTCTTTTTAAGTCACCTTTTCTTTTGAAAACATTTTGACAACTATTATAATCACAAACAAATGATCGCTTATAATGAATAGAAGATTTGTGTTCAATTAATGAATGTTTTGTTGTAAATGTTTTGTCGCAATCATTGACATCACAAAAGAAATTAATATTAAAATGTTTTACATTTCTATGCCTTTGTAGACTAAGTTTAGTGATAAATGTTTGATTGCAATCATTAAAATCACATTTAAATTGTTTTACCGATGAATGACTCAATTGATGCGAAAGTAAATGTTTTTTAATATTACTTTTATACCGACATTTAGGCCAAAAACACTTAAATCGCGTGTTACTGTTATTCACACGTGTGTTGTCATCACTATTGCAGTCATAATAATCGCTATAATCAGTGATTATTTTCACAGATTTGTTCAAAACATAAGTATTTGTAATTAGTTTGCCATTCATTTGATCGCTTGTTTCACACAATAATTGTTCACTAATTTGTTGTAAACTTTTTGTCAAACTTTTCAATTCAATTAATTTATTGAAATTACTCTTCAGTTCACTTAATCTCTCACTTAATGAACACATTTTCAAGGATTTAATTAATATTTAATTAAAATTTTTCAAAACAAATCAATTACTTTGTTTTTGATGTCAAACAACCATAACATTAGTGTCTAATGTATAGCCATAGCAACCATAGTGTACGTCAAACACAATTGAAACCTCTGTTTGAATACAAAAAAAACAGTATTTAAATCAATAACACATTCAATGCATTATCAATACTAACTATTCATTCATACATTTAAATGACGTTAATATTAATGATTAAAAGTTTTTTTTAATATAATATATTAATTACATCAATACTTATATATACAATGAATATATTGTTTATTATTATAAACAAAAGTGTTATCAGTTTTTTAAAATTATCAATTGATTTGATTTAATTTATAAATATTTTTTTTACAGTGTTTTACAATGTATTACATCAATACTAATT